CCTGTTGTCTTGATTATCAATACAATCGTCTTTATTTAAAATAAAAAAAAATTGTAGAAGCGTGAGTTTCAAAATCCTTTTGGGCTTTTGTATAGTCCCGGTCCAAAGGCCCAACTTTTGTTTGAAATGAGTTGGTGGTTATATTGCCTAGGAGCAGCCCATATTGGTCAAGATTATTTACCATCGAATTAGTCAAATGGAGGAGCCATCTTTGCCATCTCCACAGCATCCTTTTTTTTTTTTTGGTCTGAAGGGGGGTTTAGGGTTTTTTTTTTTTTTTGGTCAAGGGGGTTTTGGGTTTTTTCAATGTTGTATCTTTTTCAATGTTGTATCTTGTTCCTTTTGTCAGGTATACATTAGCTGAAGCCAGTACCTCAATTGCTAAATTTGAGGATGATAGTGTAGATGATGAGACAGCAGCCGATACATTTGAGGATGAAATTGTGGATCATGAGACAGTATTCAATACCTCAATTTCAATTTCTGAATTGGAGACTGAAATTGTGGAAGAGTCACTGGCCTCAGAAAATGACTGGGGCTCCCAAGTCTCCAGGACCTATGAAGCCTTGAAGTATGGCTCTTTTATTACGGAAATAGGCCCCTTGAATGTGAATGCTGCTTTCGCATTTGCAGGGACTACCCCTTTCATCACTCTCAGTTACTACCTAGCTGAGAAGTTGAAGAATTTTGTACAAAAAGATGCCAGATTTCACCACTGGGTTGAAAAATATTCATCCAAGCATTATCAGGTATTGTTGATCATGCCTTACTTTTAAAACAGCTCAATTATCAGGTTTGTTCAATTTTTTTTTTTTGGTAGGCAAACTCTATTTATTTGTTGTCAAGGAAAACAATTTGCAAGCGCACAATATGTCTTATTTTTAAATCATATGTGTTTATTCCAGGCACATTATATCCGTACGGAGAGGGTGCTCAATCATCTATGCCGCTCTTTGACCAGTGATGCCCGCCTTCAGTTTGTTGAATCGCGATATAGAAGTTCCATGGAATTGGCAGTAGCCTTTTTCAGCCGGCAAGTCATTGTTGATCAATTCCCCATAGTTCCTGTAATCAAGGACGAGTTTGATACTAGAAGAGAGCTCCTCCTTATTGCCTGTGGGTTGAGTTTCTCCTGCTGTGATTCTTACACCAAAGATTTGATGAAGGAAATACCTATTGTAAGGGGTAAGTACGTTGATCTGTTATTTCAGTTTTTAAAAGTGTAGTTTTGACTTGTGTTTTCTTTCTTTTGCAGTGGGATTTGTACATAAAAATGTACAGGAAGTCTTATCTCAATTTGCAGATTTTGAAATAAAATTGGACGTTTTCAATGAGATTTCTAAGAAGACTAAGAAGAAGAAACTGTTGAGGATATTTGTTGGAAGCTCGGTTGGTGACCTCGGCCCTCTTCTGGAAGCAGAAATAGGGATTGTCATCAATCCTTGCGATCACCTTTTGGCGGTAGGCCATCAATTTGGGGTGACTTTTATGCCACTGTTGTGGGCAGTCATTCAAAAAAGCACACAAATGCGAGAAGGAATAGGGTCCCTTTGGAAATCAAAGACTGGGACCCTTTATCTTGTCAACAGTTGGCATGAGATAATCATGTTTATCTTTGGAGCTTGTGGTGCTAGGAATGAGAAGCCACCTCGTGGCGATATTCTTGTACCTAAGTCTGCAAAGACATCTTCTGCTTCTAAACTTTGGGCACTTTTGCCGAAGCCAAAGAATGTTGGTGTTGAGATGCCAAAGCCAAAGAGTGCTGCAAAGCTACCTGAAGCTGAGGCTGAAGCTGAGACTGAAACTGAGACTAAAGCTGACACTGAAGCTGAGACTCCAAAGACATCTTCTGCTTCTAAACTTTGGGCACTTTTGCCGAAGCCAAAGAATGTTGGTGTTGAGATGCCAAAGACAAAGAGTGCTGCAAAGCTACCTGAAGCTGAGGCTGAAGCTGAGACTGCCGAAGCTGAGACTGAAACTGAGACTAAAGCTGACACTGAAGCTGAGACTCCAAAGACATCTTCTGCTTCTAAACTTTGGGCACTTTTGCCGAAGCCAAAGAATGTTGGTGTTGAGATGCCAAAGCCAGAGAGTGCTGCAAAGCTACCTGAAGCTGAGGCTGAAGCTGAGACTGCCGAAGCTGAGACTGAAACTGAGACTAAAGCTGACACTGAAGCTGAGACTGCTGAAGCGGAGAAGCAGCAAGATGACCAACTAGATAGAGAAAACTATTGATGAGTTGTACAGACTTTCATCCTTGGTTTTCTTTTCCATATTCTTGTTGAACCCTGAGTAACAATGAACATACAAGCATTGTTGAGAAAAATCTCTTTTGGTATTGATTTTCTCCAACATATTATTCGTTTCCAAGTAAAAAGGCCAAAGGAGGCTTACTTTCTTCAATTGTGTTGAAGTCTTCTCTGTTTATATTTTGTTTCCTGTAGCTGGCTGGGAAGTTCTTGTTCACGGCTGTTGTTTCTTCTGTCTAGTTGCTTCCTTCGATAAAAGTTCGTTTCTTTTCACAAAAGGAAAATAAATATTAGCAAAGCCTTGATTAGTCAAATTGAATTATATTAGAGAACTTCATCAAGATTTCTATTATTCCTGCTGTAACACTTCAACAACAAATAGGCCTTGTTAACGGGTGATTTAGCACGGCCCTAGAGGGTATATGGTCAATCACACACATTACACAGATTTAGAGTGGTTCACCCATGAATAGGGCTATGTCCACTGTAGAGTTTGGTATTTATTATGGATGAGTATTACATTATACATAGAGAGGCTTGAGAGCCTGGATACAAGAGGAAGAGGGAGAGCTTGGGTGTCTCCGGATATGTGCATGGAGAGAAGAATTGGAGCCCTTTGCTGGAGAGGGGTCTGTTCCCTTATATAGGCAGGAGATGAGGGCCACTTGCCATTGTTTAATGGGCAAGTGGGGAAGGCATGGGTCATCCTCAGTGGGGTATGAGCTGGGCACGTGGGGAAGGCATGGGCCTGTTTTCCTGGGACCAATGGCTCATCACGTGGCGATCGAGGGTAGTGGCCTGGTGACATGTCAGGATGCACGTGGTGATTTATTATCAAAGGCATGCGTGGTGGTCTGCACATCGCTGAGGCAGTAGGAGTTGGCTAGGCCATATTGCTCGGGTATGACATACTGTTCGGGTGTGACATTTTGACTAGGCCATATTGGCTAGGCAATATTGTATAGGCTATCTCTGGTAGGCCATTCCTGGTGGGCTATCTCTGGTAGGCCATTTCTGGTAGGACATTTCTAGTACCAACCAGATATGTATAACAACAGGCCTTATGATCAATGTTGTTTGTAATATTTACTTGGACCTGATCCTGTTCAAGTTGGGAACACCAAAAACTATGATGAATTTTGATAGTTGTAGTTGATATAGTTTTAATCATGAAGTCATTTTACATATTTGTTTCTCCATTTGTTGTTGATTGTTATTTTCGTATCTAATTGTCAATGTAGACAATTTTTGCTTAAGTATAGTGAAATGCGATGGTTAATTATATCAATTATCATATATTCTTAGACTGCATTCTTGCCAAAGCTCAAATAACCTAAACTAGCATGCCTCATTTTGGATCCTGAAACTGATAGACTATGATCATGATAATGATTTTTTCTTTGTGGTACTGAAACTTAAGATTTTTTGGTTACAAACTGAACATAATAGCGTATTAGAAAAAGAAAGAAAAGGTGAACATAATAGCTTACACTAGTGAGAGACTGGGAAAGTGTGGTATAAGCTGTAATTTTGCAAAAGTGGCAAGTAGAAGATGTTTTGGTTTGCAGATACGAAGGATATATAACCGCGCTGTCTCAACTCAATGGGTAACTGATACTCACTGACTTTGCTACTTATCCCTCTGACATTGTATTTTCTTATCTAGAAGAAATATTTGCTTGAGTTTATTCTTGTTGGCATTCATATGCTAGACTTCTGGTAAAACTGTTTAAAACTACATATCTTTGAACCAAGATATAGAAGCTCATCTTTTAATTGTTTTCAAATCGGTGTGTGGAATAGGGGTTTGACCCTTGTTCCATAGGTCGAATTTCGTTATAAGTCATAATAAATTAATAACTCCCTTGAAATACAGATTTCTAGTACCAATCCTCTGAATATCAGTTATTCTAGCTCCAGCAAAATGGTTGCTAAAATATTTAATGAATTTGTTAAAACTAATACTTCTGTTGCAGGGTGGTGCTTCATTATTTCTTGTTGTGTTTCCAGGTAACTGTTTTTAAGCAGTTTGCAAGTAAATTAGCTGCTCTTAATGATATGTTGATTGGTATCAAAGCAGGTGATGTCTGATAAGGCTCAAGAATTGTGGGTTATTTATATTCCCATCCATTTGGTTTGTAATGCATGCTCATGTAATAGTTGCCATTTTCCAGCTATGTGAGGGAAGGACTTGTCCTTGGCCAACTCCTGGGAAATCGATTTACTGTAACATTGAGGTAAGCATCTTCCCTCTATCATTTGTAGATGAAGATGGAGTATGAACTTATGAATTCCTATATATTCTCTTCACAAGCTATAAGAATTTTCAAATTTTCTTTAATTTATCCTTAGTTATATATTTTAATTCCTATATATTTATTCAGGTGCAACCAACTAGTTTTGAAGAGGTGTTCATCAATATTTTTGAATATATTTGTTAACGGGTGTTTTAGCACGGGTAAAGGATATCCGGACAATCACACACATTACACAGATTTATAGTGGTTCACCCATGAATAGGGCTACGTCCACTGTAGAGCTTGGTATTTATTATAGATGAGTATTACAATATACATGGAGAGGCTTGAGAGCCGAAATACAGGAGGAAGAGAGGGAGAGCTTGGGCATCTCTGGATAGGCTCATGGAGAGGAGAAATCGGAGCCCCCTGCTGGAGAGGGGTTTGTTCCCTTATATAGGCAGGAGATGAGGGACCACTTGCCATTGTTTAATGGGCAAGTGGCAAAGGCATGGGCTGTCAGGAGACATCCTCAGTGGGGTATGAGCTGGGCACGTGGGGAAGGCACGGGCTGTCAGGAGACCTGGGGTAGTGGCTTGGCTAGCACATATTGCTCGGGTATGACGTTTCGGGTAGGACATTTCGAGTAGGCCATATTGGCTTAGGCAGTATTGAAACGGGTAAGACATTTCGGGTACGCCATATTGGCTTAGGCCATATCTGGTACGCCATTCCTGGTGGGCTATTTCTGGTAGGACATTTCTAGTACCGACCAGTTATGTATAACAACAATATTGATACACTTTTCAACATTGTTCGACCAAGGAAGCTTTTATACATGGCCATAGGTGACAAAATTTTACTTTTTTTTTCCTATGTTATAATACTTTTGTAAGATTTTTGCTTTCTCTTGATCATCTCTTTACTTCAGTTGATATATGTATCGTTATGTATACTTTGAACTTGAAGTAGTTTATATAAGGATATAAACTTGATGATTTCTTGTAGATGGAGTTGCTCCAAGGGCTAAAATGAATCAACAACGTGCCAGGCGTTTCAAGTCTGCCAAGGACAAGGGATTAGCTGTGGGTTTTAAGCTTTTAATTAATATATTATGCTTCTGAATCACACAAACTTTCATGTACCCGCTTAAATTATTTCATACAAATACGTAAATTTATACCCCAAAATGTTGGTATCAACTGTATAGGATGCTGAAGAAGAGAAGCTGAGAAGACAGTTTGAATTGGAAGGCAAACAAGTGTTACCAAAAAAGGAAAACGAAGTCTCAGATTCAAATATAATCACCCCTGGAACTGATTTTATGTACAAATTGTCGAATGCTCTTCGCAGCTATATTAGTTTATGTTTGAGCAATGATTCAGGCTGGAGGGACATCAAGGTCTGCTCCATTTATGCCACTCTAATTTCAACTTGACGAACACATGATCCATCATTTTTTATTTTCTCTCATCTCTTTTTTGTTTTAACTTCATGATTATTGATTTAGGTGATTCTTTCTGATGCCAATGTTCCTGGAGAAGGGGAACACAAAATAATGTCTTTCATACGCCAGCAGCGTAATTTTCCTTCGTATGATCCAAACACCCGCCATTGCTTGTATGGATTGGTATGAATGATTATATGCTGAACACAACTATTTAATATTTTTTGTAATTTTTTGTTTTCCATATTTAATTTTGCTACAATAATATATAGTTGGAAAATCTGGAAGAAGGAAAAGAACTATATGGGAATGAACATGTTTCTGTTTAAAGATTTTCTTTCATAAACTCTCCCCCTCCACACACACAATTGAATTCTGACATTCTGGTGAATTATTGGCATGTAGGATGCAGATTTGATAATGTTGGCTTTGGCGACACATGAAGTTCATTTTTCCATATTGAGAGAGGTTAAATTTACAAGTCCTTTGCATTTTTCAAATTTCATATAGAAGTTTCCTTGGTGGTTTCTTGGCCACATTGGCTTTTAAGGTTTCCAATAATCAGTGCCCCAATTGAGTGAGGTCTGCCTAGCTAATGCACTAGGAACCAAAACCGGGTTATAGAATTTTTCCTTATACTAATCCGGGTTGTAGGTTCTGATAACTGATGAAATTTTAAGTACTTCAATTTCTGGATACAGGATGTTCTAAACCAGGAGCAGTATCACGCAAACTGTCAATCTGTTCGAGAAATGACTTCGTCTTTCTGTAAAGTCAGACAACAGAAAAGCATCCATTGTAAAAAAGCCCTACCAGGTATTTGAAACAGTCCTCTTATCTATCACCTGTGGTTTGAATATTGCTCTGTTGTCTCGCCTCTATTTTTCCTTCCAAATTTCAGCTTCTGCATGTTTGGATTTTGAGGGAATATTTGGAGCTTCATATGCAAATCAATGATCCTCCTGAGAATTTCAAGTTTGATCTTGAGCGTATAATTGATGATTTTATATTTATGTGCTTTTTTGCTGGAAATGATTTTCTGCCCCACATGCCAACTTTGGAAATTCATGAGGTTCTACTAAACTTCATTGGTATGTAGTGATGGGAATACAATATGAAGCTCGAAACTAATTTTTTATGATGACTACTTATTTCCAGGGTGCAATTGACTTGCTGATGACTGTCTATAAGAAGGAATTCAAAAATCTCGGTGGTTATATGGTTGATATGCTCCGGGTATAACATGATTAGCTTTGTTTCAGTTACATTTCTTCACCCTGAAAAAAAAATGTAGATAAGATCATGACCATGCCACTTCTTTTGTGCTCAAAAGCAGGTCAATGACAAGAAATCAGGATACATCAAACTATCCAGGGTTGAGAAATTTATTCTTCTTGTTGGTGCTTATGAAGATAAAATTTTCAAGAAAAGATCAGAACTACGTGAGCGTAAACTCAGACGTCTTTTCCTTAATAAAGATTTTGTAAGTGCTTGTTGCTCAAGTATCATTCATCATTGACAATATTGCTTGTATTTGTCTATTTTTCCCATTATGAAACAAATGCTGAATTAATTGGTTGCCAGCTAGAGGATGAAATTGATGCTGGAAGTTCAACTACTGATTCAAGCAGTACTTGTGCATTGCCTAATGGAGAAGAATCCGAAGCTCTGTCACTTGGGACGTTTGAAAATTTACATTCTCAAGTACGCTGTTTTTTTTTTGTGTGTGTGTTTTCTTTTGTACCTGCGGGTTATTTTGCTTGATTACACACATATACATGGAATAAAGTAGTTTTACTATCTACTTTATGACCTGCTGAAGTGTTTTTGGTATCATTTATATTGTATTTTTGCAGATAATAGGAAATACAAAGGAGTTTAAGCAGAAACTGAAAGATAGCATCAGAAGGAAATCCGATCTTTTTAAGAATGGTGATTTAGGGACGGACAAAGTATGAAGCATTCCCTTCCGAAACGTTTACATCCAAGCATATAAACAAATATTTTTACATGCTTTGCTGATTTCTTCCACAGGTAGGATATGCTGCTGCAGGCTGCAGGCTACAAGGAAAGATATTACAAATACAAATTTTCTGCTGAAGGGCCAGGGGATATTGAAAGCAAAAGAAAGCAA